CTACCACCACTACCACTACCACTACAACTACTACTACTACTTCTTACTGCTGCTGCTGCTGCTGCTGCTACTGCTGAAGCCGCTGCTGCCACCATTGCTACTACGTTGACAACACTTCCACAACATTGGAACTTCTGAAGACCCAGAAATGCTGCAATACAACGCAACTGAATCTTGGGAATAACGTTCTTGGCCTGTGAATCGGCAGAAATTTTGGACATGTCTTACTTAACAGCACTGCATATGCTGCAGTTTCGTACTGGGCCGGGTTATTTTATTGATCCGTGTTCGCTACGCTTATTTGGTGTGGATGCCGTTTTTGGGCCCTCTGCCCCCAGCCCAGCACCGGCAAGCAGCTTCCATATGGGCTGCCGCCTGTCATAGCCGTCACTGTTTACCGTTGCCGAATGATGCAATCCGCGAGCACGGCTCCATAAACCATATCGTCAACCTGAGCTCCCCGCACCCTGCACACAACACACCCCTGAGCCCCCAAACCAAGCCGAATTTCCCGTTTTTCCAGGAGGGCAAAGGTGGCCTTGACCTCAGCCGGGCTTGCTTCTGCTTCCTTGTTGAAGTCGGGGAAACACTCGCGGTTTCGATCTCGATTCCCTTGACCCCAAACGTAGTTGCGCTTCTGGTTCCCTGCGCAGCTCCCCCTTTAGGTGGGGGAATGTTCGGATGGTGTTGCTTCGGTCGCCTCTCGCAAAGCCGAGGCACCTACTACCCGCCGTTTCCCGTTTTAGGCCTCGCTAGCGATGGCGGGCAGACCCTTGGCGACTGAATGCAAGCGACCTCTTAGCAACTATGGAATGCTATGGAGTATACTGTAGTTGTAGCCATCATAGCCAACAAGCACATGCATAAGCGACACTCTGTGCCACGAAGAGTTGCTCATGGTGGAGATGCCAAGGGTTTGAGGATCCTTGGCATCTCTTGGGATCCTGCTAAGCTCTGCCTTTGACCTTAAGCAAGTGGGCATTGTAAGAGCTCGACGTGGCCTAGCCCTAAGTCTACAGACGCACCAAGGATTTTCCTTAGCTGCGGTGGTGGTGGCGCGACGGCCGCCAAAGAAGTCCCTAATGTCGTGCAGGCAGGTATGGGGCTTCGTTTGGCGTAGGGTGTTAACATGTGTCAACCACAAAGCCCTGCACAGAAAATGCTTTGCAATCCAGAGTGCCAAACCAACCAATATCCGTGTGCGAAGCGAGCCAAAGTCCTCTTGCCCCAGTCCCCAACTGTTATGTCTTTCGGGCCCTGCAAGGGGGAGCAACAGCCCGTGAGTAGTCGGTCGGAAAATACAGTCCCAAGGAGCTACCAGAGACTGTTGAAGGCCCAGTCAAGGCCTGTCGTTCGGACACTTTTGGATTGCCTCCTCAATCTCCCATGTTAAACACTCAAACCCAGAGGCACATCGCTATGATGAGACGACTGGACAGATGAGCACTATCGCATCCTTGGACACCGCCAAAAGACGCTGAGGCTCAAAGGTATTGTCGTCTTGCATGACGATGAAGCTACTCATTGTAGGAGACTGCCGGAGTACATAGTGATATATGTCCCACTGGTCCGATGGGCCCAGTAGGGAGCCTTTTACATTTGCTTTTCGTGGACAGTCCAGGGGGTCTTCGGGCATGGAGAAACGGAAAAGGGGTGGTGGGGGACTCCCCAAGCATATTAGTTACCTGGGGGTGTCGGTTATACTGGGCGATATCAAAGTTGTGGAATGCGGCCTTGTCCAACCAGCAGCAGACTGAGGTGTTGTTGTGGCGCTGTCCTATGCGCCGGCGCTGGAGTTGTGGCTTCTCGGAAGCTTCAGAGCTTCAAAAAGGTCGCCTCACACACCCGATGGTGGTTTTGCGATGTAAACAAGGCAGCTCTGGCGCTATCAGCCGATCTGATACCCATCATCTCCTCTTGAAGGTTAGGTAGCTCTGGAAGGAGAGCCGAAGGGTCAGACATGCAGCAAGTATACATCATATCGAGCGCCTGGTTATTGCTTGAATAGGTTCTGGAGAAAAGCGAACACCCCATGCCAGGTTAGGCTGCGTTGGGCGTGGCTGCAAAGTTTTGCAGCTCTCGGCAGCTTGGGCCTGACACTTTCTTCAGTTTTGATTTGTCTGAAAAGTCTAAACCCTATAGTTAAGCCCCAAACCCTAAACGTGTTCGCAGTGTCTTTGTTTTCCGCGTGAACCATGTACCGCCTGCCTAGTAACTTCGGAACTAAGTGGAGCATGAAGCAATGCCTTCATTGAAGTCAAAGCCTTGGGCAATGATGGATTCCGTGCTCACGTGTTTAGTCTATGTCAGTGTGCTACCAATCGTTACACCACCATTGAGGGCTGCCTGTAGCTGCAACGTTATGTCAACTTAGAGGAGAACGAGATAAAGGTCTCGTTAGACAGAGAGCTTCGGGTAATTGGGCTATACGGGTGGATTATCAGTCTTACATGGTTCCGGTCTTACAGTCGGAGCTTGGAGCTCTCTAGGCGTGGCGGAATTTTGTGGAGCCTTGCCGGCCTGGTGCGAGTGTGAGAGTCGAAACCCTGCAGAGCGGGCTCGTCCTAGCTAGGTGGGAGGCAAAGATAAGCCGAAACTCACGAAATTCAGTTCACAGTATCAGCGAAGGGTAAAGCCACGTGAGGTCGAAAAGAACACCCTGACAGAAGTCTGCGAGTGGGAAACGGAGGAGACCGGCAAGCACCATTGTCTGCAAAAGTGGGATTGCTCCAAGAATCCCAGGTGGGTATTCATCATTACCCATCAGAGTGAGGCAATATGCTGTTTCACCAGAACCTGTATCAAGATTTGCATTCAATGCAAAGGAGCCATGACAGGGCTTTAGATAGAACCTAGTTTTCTCCATCATGCTGTGCAGGACCAGCAAGTCAAGACTGTAATTTTGCTTCACACTTAGCTAGGGGCTGAAGAGCACACTTTACGTAGTAATTCCTCCGACCCTTTATTCCGGGTTGTGAGAGTCTCCACAGCAGACACGCGCACACTCACACAAACACACACACACACAGATATATATATATATATACACACACACACACAGAGAGAGGGCGACCGAATGTTGGCCTTGATGGATTCGAAATCGCTGCTGCTGAACCCTCAAAAATGGCCCCGTTCTACAATACCACGCTAAAGGGCTCCTAATCTGGTTACAATTAGTATACTTTACCCCAAATCCCTATTCTAGGTATTGAGGCACCCCATATAACAGCCCTTCAACTCCAGCTGAGGCCCCCTTCCACGAACGTCGCGAGGCACGCTTCTGAGTTTTGACTCGAGCATTCGGTCTCAAAAGTTTTGGGATAATGCGCTTCAACGCAAGTTCCTCGCGTTGAGACGTGTATGTATGTATGTATGTATGTATGTATGTATGTATGTAAGTGTATATGCATACCTACATACATACATACATACATATATATATACATACACACACATATATATATATATACACACATTATAGATGCATGTCTCTGTGTGTGTTATGTCTCTTCGTGTGTAGATGCATATGCATATGCTGACAGAAGCGGATAGGTGGATCTGTGTCGAGTGCGAGTGCCAAAAGGCCTTGCTGCATCCTGGAACTGGCCGGCACCGTATGCGTGCACGTGACATCTATGGCTTCGAACATACAAGACCATAGTGCATAAGCCATGTTCCAAGTTTAATCTCTTGTCCCTCTTTGCGGCCTCAACTATTTCGGGTTGGACCCAGGTGCTCTCCGAACGGCCACTTGGTGGCTACTGGCGGCACCGATGGCATCGTGCGGATATTCGAGGTCCAGAAGAGCAGAGTTGAATAATGTGTGCTCGCCCATTGCTTACAGATTGATCCCTCGCTGGCTTCCTAAGGATTTCACCACATTCTGAGAGAGGGCTGGGTATCACATAACAACAATCAGAGTGTACCTGTGAGGCAAGGTGCGGTGCAGGCTACTCTCACATGGCAAAGACAGCTACAAGTATCCACTGCGGTGTTTGCATGGCATGGATATATGGGTCCACACCATTCGCTGGTAGATATCGGGCTTCACGGTCCCGGCAAAGCGTCTAATATCCTCGATGTGATCGTAGTTACCATGTGCATGTGTGCATGTGTAACCGTATATACATATATGGAAATGTATACCATGTATGTGTTCTACTCATGCATGTACAGTTTCCTGATCCAGGCAGCCAAGCTGCAATCGAGCCCCGTTCTGAAGCACAGCTGTGTGCCCTGGACACATTCAATCACTGTGGCAGGTTGAGTGAAATTTCATGCGACAAACGACGCATGAGGAACGTGGGAAATTCAACGCTATTAAAGAGGAGCTAGCGGTTGAGAAGTCGCGATGTTTGGGTCGCGAGCTTCGAACCACGGCTTGTAGCAATTTGAGTTGTCATTGCGAGTCGCCAATGCAGGCTGACATGCTACATCGGCACGTGGTACTCTCAACGCCCTTGAATGACCATCGAGATCGTGTGCGAACATCTTACTTTGGACAGCGAATACGCATTGGGAAGACGACTGTGCTTCAGTTACTCTATCATCCTCTGTCTGAAATTTAGCACAACGGTGTTTGGCCAAAGCTTTTGCTTCTTTTGCGCCAATCTTGGTTGGAGTTGTTGTCCGACTGGTGATACAGCCGACAGCCTGGCTTGCTCTCACGCTTGCTCACTCGCTCGCTCGCACTCTTTTTCTCTCTCCGTCTTTCTTTATGACCCTCTTTACCCAGGCCAAGAACGACGAGGTCTTAGATCTTGAGCTCCTCGATTGCACAAAGAACTTCAAGGGTCCAGCACGGGCTGCTGCCGTTCCATCCCATTCTTGTTCTGGACTTGCCGTGGCCCTTCCAAGGGAGCGTGATTCCTGTTTTTGTTTGCTAGCGGCTGTACTTGAAGGCGGCCCTGGTCGGCAGCCCCGGCACGGACAGCCAGATTCGGATGACGGTTCGAGAACGCTCGAGAATTGCATCGAGTATGTTTGTTCATAGCAAGTTGTGAGTTCTTCAAGTGTATATAACTGCTACGTGTAGATGTATATACGAATACAAATACACACACACACATGCATACATACCTACGTACGTACGTACATACGCATATACATACCGATAAAACCGTGCGGCTATTATTTCCGCCGCTTTATGGCAAAAGCCCTGCACCAATCTTGACACACAAATTCACAGCCCATCTCGTAATGCTGGTAGGCGGGGGCGGACCTTCAGCGGCTGCACGACGAGCCGGGGCTCGCTAGCCAAGCGATAAAAGTCGATACAAGAGCTGCAAGAGGTTCATTCAAGGTCGATTCAGCGGCCAACCCTGGAATCCCGCAGACTCCCGGACAAAACCGCCACCTTACGAACAAAGGAGTATTTTACCGTCCCCGGCTGTTTTAAAAGGGTGTTATATTATATAAATATACTAAATACACACATAGATCTGCGATCTCGGGCCTCGGGCTGCTACCCCCACCCGATGGTATCCCCTTGCCTACCTTCTCCCAGGGTTGGTTGCGACGACAGGGGATCGAGGCTGTTAAGGGCGCGATCCACGTGACAGTCGTCGTTTCGGAGGATGATCGCCACCGCGATGTAAACATGCCAACAGTCGCTGGAATTGGATTTGTGGGAGTTACGTTTCTGGTGACTCTCGCAAGTTTGCGGCATGCATGGCAACTTCGCATCGCATCTGAAGTATGGTAACAGTCGATGATTTTATACGGTATTCCAAGCCATAGACGCTATGGACCTCTGTGAGGCTTTCGAGATCAGGAGACCGGGAGTGGAGGAGACCGCGGGTGGACAGTCGATGCCGGAAAGTTACATTTGTGAATCGCTGAGCTGGCATAAGTAGTCATAGTCTCGCTGCAGCTTGTAATTGAGTCGCTGTCGCTGTTTGTTGCCTTGCTGGCACTGCGCTTACTTGTTGCATTGGTCCCTGCAGCATCGAGATGCTGAGATGTTTCACGCTGCATAAACAAGAGGATTTCCTTGACTTCCCGGGTGGTGGTGTAGGGTTCTGGTTGGTTGGGGTCCTGGTTGAATGTTCTCTTGACTATGTTTAAGACGAGTGCGGTCCGTGGCCAATGTGGTACCTGCCAAGCAGATTTCTTCGGAAAGCTGACATACAGGAGCCAAAAACAGTAGCTGCCATTGTTTTAGTCATCTTCAGGGTTGTGTTTGGTTTCGTGGGGGGAGGCCGCGGACGGGGTTTGCAGCGTTCCGTGGGCGGGGGAACACGAAGCTACGCGTGAAAGAAATGACCCACGTAGGGGCATCATTCGCAAGGGGAGAAAGGGAACACTACCACCTTGAGTGCTCCAGCGCCAGCAGTGCTAAGATTAGCCTAAACCATTTGTTGATGGCAAGGTGTCCACATACACACATCTCAACGTACTATGTATGTATGTATGTATGTACGTATGTATGTACATACGTATGTACATACGTATGTATGTATGTGTATGTATATATATATATATTTACATGTATATGCGTATTCTGACATACATATGTTATATACACCCGTAGCGAGAGATAAGTATATAGAGAGTACCCTGAACCCTGGACTTCGTTCCGTTTCGGAGCATCACGGAGTATTCCCAGGTTTTCGCCGGACAACAAGGTCCTGGCCTCCTGCGATCGAACCGGTCTCTGCAGACTTTGGGACCTTGGGTTTGCAGGAAACATAGGGCCCCGAGTTAGTGATGAATTGTGAGTCATTTCGCATTGTGATTGGTTTTTTGAGCGGCTAGCTCATCATGAGGGTCGGTGCCCTTCTGGTCCGTTCACATGTTGTCCCAGCAATTCCAACATCACAAATAATTAGCGTACTTTACAGAGTACAGGTGGTTGGGCTTTGGTTTTGTTAAGATGGCAACGGACTCCTTTCTCAAGCCGTGGCAGCACTGGACTCAGGATCCGTCGACCGGGGAAGAAACTAAGTCGATTGACTTCAAGTACCTTCGCTTCAATGGCATCTGCTCATGGATATTTCGTAGTCTGCCACGTTACCACCACAAAGGAGACGCCCACTACATACTCATGTTCGCTGCTTCAGATCACCAGACTACATCAGAATTAGTCGTAGAAGTCGTGTGGGGAGGTGCAGGCATCGATGACAGGATGGTACCACTGACGCTGGATTCAGTAGTAGATACCTCCGACTGCCTTCCAAATAAGCATGGGTGCTTGACGACAAAAGTGTGAGCAGAACATGTCGTCGCTTAGCTGTGGAATGACCACGTCTGGGAGAAAGGGATTGGAGGCAGTGTTTCATAAGTGGTCTGTCAGTTTTTGAGAGCCGTCGCCACGTAGCAGGGCGCCAATCTATGCATCAACAGTCGGCACCCGCGCAGTCTGCCGCGCATGGGAATCCGGAGATGTCCGAGAAACCATGCCGTACCGCTGTGAGAAGCCTCGCGGTTTAGTCAAACCTTTCAATTCAAGCCCTACCAGTCCTAGGCACGCTGGCACAGCGGTGGCGATTCGAGCAATACGCCCCGCAGCTCAATAATATGCCTCTACATGACTGCGCTCGCTTTCCTGTTCTAAAACTTCTTTGTGTGTCTAGTTAACTATCCATTTGCCACCTGTCTCCTGTGGTTTTGTACATTGAATGAAGTCAGGCCCACGGTGTTTGTATAAGCTAGATAAGGTATCATTCGTATGTCTGCGGGTTTATCAATACAGATGCGCGCACACGCACGACAAAATCTCGCATGTCAGGCTCATGTTGTCGTTGGACGGTTGCTCGTGGAGTATGAACTGTTGAGATTCGGTGATAAGTTAAGTATAGTTCGTGGCTTTCCTGCACAGGGGCGGAATGAAAGGGCTTTTGATCGGAGGTTGCGGAGTGTTTCTGCCGAATTTCGGGAACAGACCGCTGCTGACGCTTGATCAGCATGGGTAGGATTCTGATCGTAGAAGCAGCTTGATGGACCAGTCGGCGTGAAGCCGTTCCTGCCTCGTACGAGTGTGAGAGTCGGACACCGTGCCCTGACGAACCGACACTCAGGCTACTTGCCGCCGCAGGACTTCCAAACATGTCGGCAGCAGCGGAGTCTAGGGCATCCAGTCAGACTCCTCTTAGATGCGGCGTTCTTCGACTCCTTGTAGAGCTTGTGGTTTAGGGTTTTCGGTCACCTGACTTACTCCGTAAACCCTACATGAACCCGACCTGGCCCGGGAAGCTTCGCAGATGTCAGTACTTCCTGGGAGACAGCCTTGCTAAAAGGCCGCAGGAGTTAGAAGCGAAATCTTTTTCTACCACGATGGCAGAATCGCTTACTTAGTTTCAAGAACCTGAGAAAAGATTCTTCAAAGGAGCAGGCAGGTAATGCATGTGGCGGTGTTGGCCTGCTCCATTCTCGGCACCCTATGACCGATAACCGAAGCCCCCTGTCACATGTACGGCTTTGAAACACCGCTCCGACAGTTGATGACCGAACAACGAAAACTTTATTCAAACTCCCGTAGCTGTTACAGCCAATCGATGGGCGGGGAAAACTGAGCACACCCCTAAATACATAAATGTTGAGCTAGATCGCCGTAAATCCTAATCCCAGCCGGCGATCCCTTCCTTGTTGGGACTTTGACCTAGCCTAGCATACCCCGGTCGTGTGTGCGCGTGTCCTTGTCAGCGTAGGTTCTCTTCTTTATGTTGTCCAAGTTCTGTCGTTTCCTGCGAGTTCGTTGGTAGGAAGAGAGCTGACCTGTGCGATCTAATTATTGCATTCGTTGTATATACGAGGCTTGTTGGGCATGACTGTTCTGAGAAACGCATTTTGCTGTCGACAGTCATGCCGAATTCCGTTGATCCACCCCCATAAACCGCCACCCTGAACCGTCATTCCCAAGCTCGCAACCCTAAACCACTGAACCTATGTCCAGTGGAGGAAGGCCAGCAGCACTTCCTTTGTGCAATGTCTGCCCCCAGGGGCCCTGCTTGTGGCTGGGAATGAATTTGTCCCTCAAGGTTTGGCTAGCGTGGCATGTGCCTAAACACATGGGTGCATAAATCCACCAATGTACAGGCTTTGATACATCACGACAGGCCGAAATAGGGAAATTGTGTGTGTGTGATTCTTGCCGTTGGTGCATGATAGCTGGTGGGTGTGGCATTTAGGCTTCGGGTCTGGGGCACACATCGTGTACCAGCAGAATCGTAGCTCGGAGTGTAGCAGGTCCTGCTGGTTTCCAAGTTCTAATATAAGTTTTCCAGGTCCTGACTGTTCGACAAACCGACAGAGGCAAGGATGATTTGGCTGGTTAGTTCAGGGTGCTACTGAACTGACGGCCTTCACATGCCTTTGGATGGTTGTGGGATCTCCTTGGGGCATGATGGGTGGCAAGGAACATATTTTGACTAAAGTACGTGCATAGAGCCAGCCGCTGGCGTGCAGAGTGCAGAATCGGGTCACCATGTTTAAGATCATGTTGGTACATGCCTCTGTGTGTTCTTTTCGGGCTGATCACCACCTTTCTTCGGCATCCAGGCCTAGCGATTTACAACGCTGATGGCAACGTGGTGCCCTGGCTGCCGAGATCCGATACACTTTTTCGCATCTGTAATGCCCCACAAAGGTTGCATGGTTGTTTGACGCCGAGATGCTTCCTTCGCTCTTCGCCATGTGTCCTGCACGATTCGTTTGCAGGGACGGGATCCTCAACAGCCCGGATAATGCCCTTGAGTATTGAAGATCGGCAACACCAACCGCATCATATGTCCACAAGGTCAAAGATGTCAAAGTTCACGACAAGCCCCTGACAGCCATCGCAGCCACTCGGCAGCTTGTATCCTGCTCAGCTGGAGATCTCGTTGTTGGGCTTCTGGTGAGGTCGACAAAACGGGCCAGACCGTCTGTGTCAACTTGGTGACCGGCGGCGCTTTGGATCAGTATGCAAGCGCGCAAGGGTTTGCAAAGGCTGTCTACACTGTACACTCGGATATTGTTGCGAACGCAGCCGACTCGCTTAGACTCTGGTTGCTGCATCACACAAGGTAAGTGCTTGTACTCTTTGCCGAACATGAGATGCTGCCTGGTTGCAATGGATGTTCTGCACTCAGTCGACCGGCTGTCGTCGACAAGTCTTTGCGCAGACACCCCGGCCACGGTTGCTCCGACCCTGTAACCTGTAAATGTAAATGCAACTTTCGGCTGGTCATGTCATGTGGAGTTGGTCTGGTCTTTCGTTTTTTCAAATTTTCAACCACAAAGTAGAAATCCATGGTCCTGGAAGGTTTGAAGAAGGCAGAAAATGCCTCCCGGCAGCCAGAAGGAAGGATGGCCTGTACACATTGGGGCAAGCTGGTTTGTATGCTTGTATGACTGTTTGTATGTACATGTATATATATATATATGTATATGTATATATCTATATATATATACATATATATACATATGTATATATATATACACATATATATACATATATATATATATACATCATGAAA